CAGACTTCAATGAATCAAACAGGAGAAGCCCACAGAGAAATTTTTCATCAAGGAGCCTGGCAACCATTTGTAATCACTTTTCTGTGCGGGTTTCAGCTCAGAACTCCCTGTCCTGCCCGCACTGACAGGGGTCAGAGTAATGAAGCAGAAAAGACGTGTCCACAATGTTGGCTGCATCTACTCCCATCACTAAGCAACCCAGGCCCGGATTGTGGGGTGGTGCCCCAAAGACACTGCCTTAGCCGTCGGCTGGTATTTGTACTTCAGCCGATGGAGCGAGTTAAAGGGCTGTGCAAACACAAGGCACTGAGCAAACAGACTGAAGTGTGCTGTCCAGGTGTCCAGGGGAAGGCTGTGACTCAGCCCCTCCTCTGGGAGGGACCAGGCGCCCTGCTCTAAGGATATCAACCTCTGTCGCAGGGATCCAAGAGCGTCAGTCCTGCCATCAGGGGGCCCACGTGATATGGGATTCCCCTTGCCCCTCTGAGCACCTCCCGCCCGGGAAGAATCACCTATCGGCAGGCCTCTGGGGGTGTGTAAGGGACGCCTCCATCTGCCGTCTTGTCCTAGCCTGTAAGGAAAAGGCATTTTGCCCATTTGGGTCCCCCATCAACCAACAGAGGTAATGGCTTACAGTGTCTGCATGTCTTCATTTATGCCACAGCCCACTGAAACGCAAAAACCCCTTGGGACTCAGAAAGTCCCCAAATGAAGGTTTCCATGACAACACCCCCCCCCCGGCATTCCCAGGTTATCATGGACCAAATATCCCACGGTCCCAAAGTGATTGTCGATTTGATTTAGATGCTCCTGAAGGCGACCCTGAAGACTCCTCTGGACCCCAAGTTAGAACATGGGCAGGAGACACAAACAGAAAGTGCCACCATGCTGCGAGCTCTGCTTTTCTAGGAGCTGCTCCTGACAGTTCTGCTTTTTAAAGCCCTGGGCCACGTCACACAGGACTGAGCTCTGCTCAGCAGATGCTTTGGCCAGCCCAGAACGTTGCCCAAGTGCTCACGCCCTCTCCTCTTTGACCTGCTTCTCATCCCCTCTCAGGATCTGTCTTGGAGAGAAGCAGCTCTGGGAGCCCCCATCAGAGGCCTCAGGGGACAGGAGGGTGCTACAAAGAAGCCTCAGACCGGGGCAGTGGTCGAGGGGAAAAGAGGTGACTTTAAAAGTACTTAAAGAAAACCACTGAGGGAAGTGGCCTGTGTAACTAGAAGGGGGGTCAGCCCCTGCCTTCCCGCAGGGCACAGTGGCTGAGCAGCTTCTGGGTGCCTCTAGACCAAAGGTTGTCAAACTTCTGTAAAAAGCCACGCAGTAAATATTTCAGCTTTTGCAGGCCATATGGTCTCTACAAGTGTTTCATTCTGCACAAATGGACAAGTGGGAGTGGCCACGCACCAATAACAGTTTGTTTACAACACCGACTCCCTGTAGTGGTCTGGATCGGCCTGGGGGTGGCAGTTTGCGACCCCTGCTCTAGACCCAAGAATACGGACCTCAGAAGTTACAAGCCGCCAGCCTCCCTTAAACAGGTCCCTGCTAACCAAATACTTTAAGCGCCGATCAGACAGTTTTCTTGGCTGGTCACTGTCTGGCCTTCTACCTCCGCCTGGGAGAATGAGGCGCTAACAGGAACCCTCCGGGCGGCACAGACCAGACCTACTCGTGGATGCTGAGAGCAGTGGACCCGCCCCCAACCCACAGAGCACACACTCGGTCTGTCCGCCTATAATCTCAAGGGAGTGCACAGCCCTCCGGAGCTTATTCACAGACCACGTGGAAGCCTAAAAACCCTAGGATAAGATCCCTTGCTCACTCAAAAAGACAGCTAATTTTCTACAGGTTATGAAAGATAACCCTGTAGAAAAACAAATGACACAGAGAAGCAATTCACAGACTAAAATGGCCACAGAAAGAAGTGAAAAGATGTCAAGATGCTCCATTTCACTAACAAAGAAAAACATTTTTTTAAAGAATTTATTTAGTGTTATTTTTAGAAAGAGGGGAAGGGTGGAAGAAAGGGAGAGAAATATCAGTGGTTGCTTCTCAAGCACCTCCTACCACGGACCTGGCCTGCAACCTAGGCATGTGCCCTGACCAGGAATCGAACTGGGAACCCTTTGGTTCACAGGCTGGCACTCAAGCCACTGAGCCACACCAGGTAAGGCTAAAGAAAAAAACTTTTTAGATCATGATATAGCACCCTGATCAGCCTGGCTGAGTGAGTTGAGCTTTGTTCCACAAAACAAAAGGTCGCCAGTTCGAGTTGCAGTCAGGGCACATGCCTGGGCTGCAGGCCGGGTCCCCAGTTGAGGCACATGCAAGAGTCAGCTGATGGATGTTTCTTGCCCCTTCTTTCTCCCTCCCCCACCAAGAGTAAATAAAAAAAATCTTTAAAAAAATTAAAAATCAGGCCCTGGCTGGTGTAGCTCAGTGGATTGAGCACAGGCCTGCGAACCAGAGGATCACAGTTCAATTCCCAGTCAGGGCACATGCCTGGGTTGCAAGCCAGTTCCCTGCAGGCCAGTTCCCAGCAGAGGACACATGAGAGGCAACCATACATTGATGTTTCTCTCCCTCTCTCCTTCCCCTCTAAAGATAAATAAGTAAATATTTTAAAAATAATAATAAAAAAATTAAAAATCATGGCATGGCATTTTTCACCCCATGAGAGTGGCTAAGAGATTGACGCTCGGGCACTGGAAGGGGCGTGGGGAAAGGCCCTCTCACGCACGTTGCCAGGGCAGTGCTGGTGCACACCACAACTTTTGGAAAGGCCGCCTGACAGTACGTATGAAAATTTAAAGCCTGCTGACCCTGTGGCCCAGCAATCCCACTTTGCGTACACATTTCACAGAAATCTATGTACAGGAATGTTCACTTCAGCAGCATCATAAATCAGAAAAACTGGAAACGAACCCAAGTGTCCATCAGTAGGAAGCTAGTTAAGTAAACTGTGATATATCTATACTATAGCATCACATGGAACTCTTTAATAATGAGGTAGATCTCTAGAGTTTAAAATAGTAAGGTAGCTTTCTAAGCACTGGCAGGAAAAGACATAAAGGATACATCGTTAAATATAAAAGGCAAGTTGTAACAGTATTTTTAAAAAAGAGTAACATTGGTATATAGATTTTTTTAATATACTGAAGAGATACACTCTAAACTGGTAAGGTAGACTCACAAGTTCTACAGTCTATATATTTCTGAAATATTGACTTTTTAAAATAAAAACATTTTTGTTTCATAATTTATTTATTTATTTATTTATTTTTAAAGATTTTATTTATTTATCTTTAGAGAGGAAGGGAAGGAGAGAAATATCAATGTACGGTTGCCTCTCGTGAGTCCCCTGCCAGGAACTGGCCTGCAACCCAGGCATGTGCCCTGACTGGGAATTGAACCGCGATCGTGTGGTTCGCAGGCCTGCGCTCAGTCCACTGAGATATGCCAGCCAGAGCGTTGTTTCATAATTTAAAAAAAGAAAAAGAGAAACCCTTATGGGCTTAACAGTCTCCCTTAATGGGCTCTTATCAACAATAAATTCCTTTTACAGGCTTTCTTAGCATTTCTGGTATGGTGATGTGTGTCTGTCTTACGCTGTATCACAACAAAGCATCTTTCTGCATCTCACAGCATAAATTCCCAAGTTCAAGGACCATCTCCTTCTCTTACCCAACTCAGCACTGCCATGACATAGGCACAGAGTGACTGAAATAATGGGGTGGAGCCAGGTTTCTAGGTTTCATTTCAATGGAAGAGGTGGCCATCTTCAGGCTGTCAAAGAGCAAACAGAACCACAGCTCCTGCCACATGGTTCACACAACTTAGTGCAATGTGTGGGCTTTTGGCAGTTCTAACAAATTTCCTACAGTTAGGGAGAGGATACATTTGTTTTTATTTAATCTACCTGGTTAAAAAAGTCAAAACAGAAAAGCACAGAAGAGTAAAAACCCGACCGCTCTCACCCGGGAGCCAGGCAACCAGAGCACCCAGATCTGTGGATGTGACCCGCTGCCCGCGCACACCGCCCACGTGGCCCTGTGCCATGCCTTTGTCACCTAACACAGACGCCACTGAACACTCATCTCCTAGGACCCAGGCCCAGACAGCTGATCCTTCCATGCAGAGCAGACTTCACGAGGCAAAGCACGGGAAGGGCAAACAGAGACATGCTGGGCACAGGGCTCTGGCTCCCACCCAGAACAGGCAGGAAGCCAAAAGGAAAGGTACTGTGTCATAAAAGCTTTTTCATGGGGAAACTGAGGCAGGCCAGACTTTCCCGTTGCACAGGAATCTTTGAAGAACCCATTAGTCTCACTGTTTTCCCAATGGCCACTTTGCCCCACCTTGCAAACAGCTTCCTTCTCCCTCCCAGGAAGGCCTTTCCTGGCTCACTCTCTTTCCATGAGATCCTTCCTGCAGTCTCTCTCACCTCCCGAAGGAGCACATTCTGTGACATTCTGGTGCTCCCTATAAGGGGGTGTTCAGCATCCTGGGAAAACATCTTTCCCTCGAGGGTCCTTCTGTGTCCTGGCATATCAAAGACCAAGGAGAGACGCAGCCTGTGTGCTCCCTGGGTTTCCATTCGGTTGTGGACAAAGACAATGGCTGGGGGTGGCACTGTTAACCAGAGTTGTCATAGAAAACAAGAGAAAAGCAAGCGGCAGTAGCTTTTATTTCCCTGTTCCTATCTCTCCCCGACACATGGCTAGTAAGCTGGCTTCCTCAGCACCTAAGCCAAGGTCAGCAGCCGGTGGGCCCACTAGGAGAGCTGAGCTCTGCTGTGCCTGCAGGACATTCCTCCCAGCTGTGGAGGCTGTGGCTGGCTTTGCTGTCTGGCCGCTTCGCCACCAGCAGCCCTCCAGTGCTTGGGATGTCCAGGCACGTGCCGGTGAAGGGAAGGCAAGGAAACTGAAGCCAATAAAAGCTGTCTCAGATTCACAAGGAGATGACTGAGCTGAGATCTCCTTAAAGAAATTGATACTTACTGTTAACGAGGTGAAAGTCATGCACATCCCACCAAAGCCATTCAGAGACAGGGAGATGAAGATGAGCACAGAGAGAGCTGTGAGAAAACAGAAGGCACGTAAGCAGGGAACCACCAGCTGCGCTTCAGGGAGGCCAGGACTTGGGCTCTTACAAAAGGTGCCTCCCCATCTTCTGTTCTCCACTAACCTGAGCAGCGAGTGACAGGCCTAAAGAAACTGCTTCACTGAAACAAAAAATACAGGTATCCCCAAATCAATCAATGGTGAAACTGAAGGTCTATTTTGGTGTTTGTTCTATAAGTCCTTGAAGCAACAGCACCATCTGGACAGGGTTGGTGGCCAGGTAGCTTCTTGGCTACCTTTAAAGTACTGGCCTGAGCTGCCTCAGGCAGACGAAGCTGACGATTCTGCACACACCTCTGCAGCTGGCCTGGCTCCGTGAACTTGTCTCTCAGGCTGGATCAATGAGGCCACCTCGCACTGGCCTGGCTTGGTGATACAGCATGGAAGTTTCACACACCCTGAAGCGTGCCTCCCACATCTGTCTGGGGCGACTGTTTTTTCACGCAGCCACCCATTTGAGGTAAATAAGTGGGTAAAGGCCTAACAGGCATCGCCTCTCACTGGATCAGTGAGCACCAGGCCTGGCTGAGCGTCCTAGAACAGATGGGCCTGTGAGCCCCTCTGGGTGCCCTCCCCAGTCCCTGACAAAAGGGTGGAGAAAAAGGGTACTCACAGCCTGGGTTACTTGCTCCATACGCAATCAGCAAGCAGGAGACAGCAAAGCAGGCACTAAAAATGAGCAGAAATAATGCATTATTTCCTATTATCACTACTGTTCATATTATTAGTATTTGGAAGTATTCACTATGTTTTAGGTAGTTCTGGAAAAATTATATACAACATTTTATTTAACAATTCTAAGGAGTATCACTGGCTCCATTTTACTGATGAAGGGGATTAAAAAGAACTGATTTTTCCTAAGTCTCCAACTAGTAAAGTGCCTAAGCAGGAACTGCACTCTGGCAGCCACATCTGGTAAATACCACACTGCACTGCCCCCTTGCATCCCCCGACTGGAGCTGCCAGGGCTCTGAAGTGAGCAAGGGCACAATCTACTCCCCAGGTTCCTTGCTCATTCAGCCAGGGGATGACAGAACCCACCAGACACGCTCGAGAGGAGTGGCAGCTGCTGGATCCCCTCCACTTGGCTCTGCTCTGCAAACCGGGGCCTCTTAAAGCTCCAAAAAGTGAATGAAACTATTCCACCACCCATTCCCTCCCCAGTCACAGGTCTCACTCACTGCAAACCATTGCCGCCCAAGCCAACCCTTCCCAGTGGGACTGGCCTGCAGAGGCCACGACCTGAGAGGCCAGCTGCTGGCTGACGGACCCTGAGCCCAGCACGCTGGGACTGTGCAGACCAGGGACACCCCCCCGAAGGATGCACACGGTGATCCGCACAGGTGCCGGTGGTAGGGGAAATATTAGGACTTCTATTTTACAATTTTTTATCTCAGCCATTTTCATTCATATTTTTTGCATATGTATCACAAAGCATATAAAAGAATTAATGGCATACATATTAAAATTGATAATTCCATGTGCTTATATTAAAAGTACGTTTTCAAAACCTCTTTTTTGCTGATAGAGGTAGAAGGTCAAGAAGACTGTGGAAGCCAGTGGCCTTAATGACAAGCAACTGCAGACCCTCCCAGGCAGGCCTGGGCCCTGTGCCTCTTTTATGCGCTACTGGCACATTACAAGGACCACAGTGTCCACTGATTCGATGGAAGACAGGGTAGAACTTCCACTCTGGGTGGGCATTTAGGGAGCTCCATGGTGTACCTGATAGCAGGTCCCAGGACTCCCCATAGTGGGCAACTCAGCCCAGGATCCACCAGCCCGCCTCCCACGCCCAACACTGACCTGCCCAGCAGCCTAAGCTTCCTTGGGCCGTACTTGTCCATGACGATGCCCAGGGGCAGGGTGATGGCACTGAGCAGGAAGGAGCCCACGGTGAAGGCCAAGTTTAGCATCTCATCCTGGGCCTTGCAGCTGAGCCAGCCATTCACCCAGGTCACCTCTTCCTCCTGTTCTGGTTTTGCTGTGCCCCCCACTGTGCCGTTGGTGACATTCTCTGTGTGTGCAGAGGGAGGAAAACCTGATCACAGGGTCGTGGTGAGGATCCCGAAGATCAGAGGATCAGGTGCACATTTGAAGTCACTCCACTGGGAATGGCAGAGCTGTCTCTGGGCCACCTGAGGGCTCAGGCCACCCCATGGCGGGCCTGGATGTCCATCTGGCCCAAGCCTCCTAAAGCAATAGTGCAGAGGTTCTTAACATTTGCAGGTATCACAGACCCTCTGGTGAATCCAGTATAGAAAGCTATGCTCCTGCTCCCCAGAAAATGCACAAAGTCGTACCCACCCTTCTCAGGGGCCTCATGTGTCTCTTAAAGCAACCCTGAGCCCGAGGCTGGGATTCCTACTCTAGAGTCACCCAGACCCTGGAATAGTAGACCTCAGGACCCAGCCTTCGCAGTGGGGCCCCAGGCTGGCCAGAGCCTAGTCGGCAGCTCTGTCATGGAAACAGATACAGCCAGTACATAGGAGGATGACGCTGGACCACCTGGGAAGGACAAGCTGCTGGTCTCACTGCTATGCCCTGGGGTTCTCTGAGGTCAGTTTGGAAAAGAGTGAAAGGCCTCCTCTACGCTAAGTGCAGGGGACTTCTCAAACACACCATCCTCTTGCTACCTCCTCCCCCTCCCATTTTCAACCACCAACAGCCACACATACTGAGCTATAGAAGCCCTTGGACGGTTAACAGTCCCCACCTACCTGCTCCCACCTGTTGAGGTGCACCTTTCTCACTTTCTAGCTACAGTCACCATGTTTACGGTCCCTGAGGCCACACCTATGCTATAATCCTGGCCCTTAATGACCCTCTCCAAAGTCCACCCAGCACCAAGACAACAAAATAGGCAGGGAAAAGTGCTGTAGCAGCTGAAGGCAGGGGGTGGGCGACAGGTCTGGGATGCGCGGCCGAAGGACTGTCTCCTCTCTGGGACTGCTAGTTAAGAGATGCTGACTAATCCTGCAGCGAGAGGAGCGGCCTCTGATTAGATTTGCAGGAAGGCTGGGAGAGACGAGGAAATGCCTCCTTCAGAGAACCGTGTGCCTCCAGGCTGCGGCCCTCTGGCGCCAGGGCTGTACAGCTGAGGTCTGCAAAGGCCTCCCAGGGCTGCTCCAAAGACAGAAAAAGATGTGCTTGGGGTGAATCATGCCATGTGCCGACCTCTAACCAACAAGCCCTCCTGGGGGCGAACTGACTATGGGTGAGGTGCCAGGCCCCGATGTTGATTCCTCCACTTCCTACTTGTACAACCTTGAAGAAATGACTTAATCTTGCTCTTTTTCCATTTTGTATCTGTAATATGAGCACAATCTAACAATATGTATCGGCCACCTAGAGTTTTAGGGAAAAAATCCAGACAACATTCTAGAACTCACAGAAGCATAGAAAGTGATCAATAAATAGTATCTGAAAGTTATTACAGTTACTATTATTAGAGGCTCCAGACAGAGGTAATGCTGCAGCCGACCGGCAGCAGAACCCAACATAGCGACTTGGAGCAGAGCTCCCTGACCTCGGGGGTGGCAGCATGAGCTTGTACCCAGGCTCCCACGGGGAGGGGACCCTGAAGGGCAGACAACTGTGTTCTAGTCACCTGTGTCCCCAGCACCTTACTTGGGTCCTGGTGTAGGGCAGTCGCTTACTGAATTAATGAAAACAGTGGAATCAGATCACAGTGGCCAAAAGGATCAAGAGGGAAGGAAGGAACCAGGATGTACAGAAACAAATGGAAGATTAAGGGGATTCAAGGAGATTAGAGCCACACTGTTAACCTCCTGAAGGCACGGCAACCAAACCTAACAAGTCAGATTCCCACCCCTCCCAGCCCACTACTTTCTCTCACTCCTCCAAGAGGCCCCGCCCACTGGCAGCCAAACACACATGCCAAACAGGGTCAGAGCCCATGAGGATCCACCTCGGCACTGTCCACACACTGACTTAACCAGGGGGCCGAGGGCTGAGCTACCCACCCAGGGCAGCTTCTGGAAAGGTGGGGCTGCCTCACAGGTCGGCACTGGCTTCAGGTGACAGCTCTGCCAGCGGCAACAAGAGCTGGCTGTGAAGTGGGACAACAGCCATTTCCAGGTTGGTGTGCAGATATGAGCAAACCAGCACAAGTGCGACTGAGTGGATGGGTGGAGAGGGTGCCCCAGGGTCCAGGACTGCTGGCTTGTGAGACCTGCCTGAGGCCGAGCAGGGTCTAGAGCCCATTATTGCACTAGGTGCTTCAGGACCTCCTGCTGTGAGCAGAGAGCCACAGCTGGACAAGGAAGCGAACTGCACTCTCTCTGAGGCACCGGGATGCTTACACAGAGGCTTCCCAGAGAGGAACCACAGGGGACCCTTAAATCCATGACTGTACTCACCAAGATAGAAATGATAAAATTCTAAGGCAACATACACAGGGCAGTCTCCCTAATTTGCTATAAGTGGGGATAGGGTATAAACATCTGAGTTGGTTAGACGTCTGATCACCCCTGTTACTAGACAGGTGGCTCATGAGCAGACAGGTCAAAGAGCCACTACACACAGAAGCAGGGGCCTTACTTTGGGCTACCAGCCTTCTCCTCTTAAAGAAATCCTGCCAAAGGAGCCACCTGGCCCTCCTGCCTTCAGGCAGTGATAGCCAGCAACAGGGGTGGGGGTGGAGGTGTGTGTGAGTGGCCCCTTGTCTGCCTGTGGAGCAACATGCCAGTGTCCTTCACCCTGGAGGAAACCCAGAAGCTTTCCTGGCAGTAAAAGTGCCCACATAAATACACAGAGATTAAGCAGATGCCCAAACAAAGTCACACCCAGGCACTCCTCTCCCTCTACTCCCACCTGGGCCAGGGGACACACAAACAAATAAGGACCCAGGAAGTGTCAAAGCTCCTCCGGGTGCCCCTCTTGCCCCAGCTACAGCTCAGCCCTCACCTGAACCCAGCCTGCTCTGCGCCTCACCTGTACCTGTTTAGTAAACAGATGCCTCCGCAGTGGGAGGCCAGAGTGGCCTGACCCAGCCCAGCTGGGGAAGGTGAACCAAGAAGACAGGCCAGGAGCTAATGCGGCCGGAGTGTGCTGAGAACAGGCACACGACTGCTTTGGAGGAGACCCAGGGAAAGGGAAGAGAACAATGCCTGCACTGTTCAGCCTCACTCACAGAAGACTCACACACAAAATCTTACAGAGAAAGCTGAGGAGAAAAGCGGGTGCTGTGACCCCACTCAGGCTCCCTTGACATCTCTGGGTTGAAGAGGGGGCTCCCCCATCCCAGGGAAATAAAGGGAGTGGGAGCCTTCAGAACAGCTGGCCAGATGATGCCTCCAGTAGCTAAGGGCACAGGGCTGGGGGCCCCTCTAACTTCCTGAGCAGCCCCTTTCTGACTGGCTGCTTACTGAGCGCCCCTGCCCTGGGGGCAGGACCCTGGACCACCCTGCCCAGGGTCCCTGCCCATCTTTCTCTCAAATCCTTAGTCTATCTGGCAACAGGAAGCAGCATCTCCAGGGTGTGTGTGTGGGGGGGGGGGGGTGTAGGTGAGAGGTCAGACTCAGACACAGAGCAAACAAGAGGCAGGACACAGACGGCATGCCCTGCTAGGTGGCCAGGGCCTAGCCCCTTAGCTGTGGTCACCTAGTGAGAATGGGACTGCCCCCAGATCCTCCCAGGAGGTCCCTGAAAGCCAACCCGAGCTGGATAGGACCTTACTAGCACACCAAAAAGCCAGGTGGGGTGAGCAGCGGATGTAGGGGAGAAAAATTGGGTCATGAAATGAAAAGGAGGAAAGCGGGGGTTGGTGGGGAAGGCCGAGGGCGCCAGCTCCCCACTGTGAGTGACATCCTGAGGCTGTGGCCACCAGCCTTTAGGCTTCTTTACCCAATGCTACAATTTAAAAAATATATTTTATTTATTTATCTTTAGAGAGGAAGGGAAGGAGAGAAGGAGAGAAATGTCAATGTATGGTTGCCTCTCATCAGTCCCCTACTGGGAACTGGCCTGCAACTTAGGCATGTGCCCTGACTGGGAATCAAACCGCAATCGCGTGGTTCATAGGCCCACGCTCAATCCACTGAGCTACACCAGCCAGGCACAGTAGGGTATTTTAACACCCCATTGAAATCAATGAACAGATCTTTCAGACAGAAAAGCAACAGGGAAAACAGTGGTCTTTAAATAACACACTAGATCAGACGGATTTAATTGGCATCTTCAAAGCATTTCACACAAAAGCAGCAGAATATACATTCTTTGCAAGTGCATATGGAACATTTTCTAGGATAGACCTCATGTTAGGACACAAAACAAATCACAATAAATTTATGAAAACCGAAATCATACCAAGCATCTTCTCTAACCATAATGGTACGAAGCTAGAAATCAAATCACAAGGGAAAAAACAGAAAAATTACACAAAGACATAGGGGCTAAATCACATGTTACTAAACAATGAATGGGTTAACAAAGAGATTAAGGAAGAAGTCAAAAGATACTTTGGAACAAATGAAAATGAGAACATACCAACCCCAAATCTATGGGATATAGCAAAAGCAGCCCTAAGAGGAAAACTGACAGCATTATAGGACTACCCGACAAAACAAGAAAAATCTCAAGTAAACAATCTAAATTTACACTTAAAGGAAATGGACAAAAAACAACAACAAAAAAAGCCCAAAGTGAGTAGACAAGAGGAAATAATAAAGATCAGAGCAGAAATAAATAGAATAGAGTCTAGCCCTGGTTGGTGTGACTCAATGGACTGAGTGCAGGCCTGCAAACTGACCTGCAAACTGAAAGGTCACCAGTTCCACTCCCACGCCTGGGTTCCAGGCAGGGTTCCCAACTGGGGGTAAGCAAGAAGCAACTGATTCATGCGTCTCTCCCACAGTGATGTTTCTCTTCCCCTCTTTCTCCCTCCTTTCCCCTTTCTCTAAAAGTAAACAAAATCTTTTTTTTTTAATTGGAAAAGCAAGTCTTATTTTTTTAATAAAAGGAAGTCTAAACAAAATTATAAAATTTCAATGAAAC